ATCCCCACGCTGTAGGAGTATGGGATGGAGCTGGCAGCAGCTGCCGGGACACGAGCCCGGTGCAAAGCTGCGGTGTCCCGCAGCCTGTGTCCCCCCCGGCGCTGCCCGGCTGTGCACGCAGGCATGGAGTCGGGGTGCAGCACTGGTTTCCGTCGTGGTGCTTGTGTGTCCAGCCCCCTGTGTGTCCAGCCCCCCTCTCCCCAGTTACAGTCCCCTAGGCCAGTCTGGAGAGAGAGAGCGAGCCTGGGGAGCAGGCTGTGAGGGGTCTACCCGGGCCCGGAACATCCCACCTCTGGGACCTGCTCAATCCCGAGGAGGTGCAGGGGAACTGTGGATCCATCCAGCTTTTGCAACACGCAGAGCATCTTTCAGGGTTGCTCAAATCCTCCTGTTTCACACTAATCCTACAGCCTCCGGAAGGGTGATAGGACTATGTAACATCCTCCCCATCTCTCTCTGTCTCTCTGGTGTCTGTTGGCCCCATCCACCCTCATTTCCATAACCCTCCATCCTCCCCTCCCTCCTTCCCTAAACTCTCTCCATCTCTTTGTGCCTCAGATGAGTTTCCTGCTCTCTCGAAGCCTCTGAAAGCCGCAGACCGTACGTCCCCCTTTAGCCTCCCGGTTTGTTGGTGGTTGTTTTGCTGGTTCAGCTGCCGTCAGGGCTGGAGAACCGGCCGGAGCTGAGGGAACATCGGCTGTGTCGTGTGTGGGCACCGTGGTGGGAGAAGCCTGCCCTGCGGGAGCGGGGAAAGGGCTCTGCTGCCCTGTCCCACAGTGGGTTTGGGGTGTCTGTGTTGGGCAGCGATGTCTTTGCGGTCGATGTGTGTTGTGTGCTGAGCCAGATGTGTGCAGCTGGCTTGGGAGGCTCGGGGAGGGACCCTGCAAATGATTCCTGCTCCTTCTGCTCGAGGGTTCATAAAAACAAGGGATTCTCTCCCGAGCACTATCTCACTGCCTTAAGGGAAGCGGGGCGCCACCTCCTTGGGTGGTGTAAATCCCCTGCGCTGGTTCACACCAGCAAAGCCCCCCATCTCGGGGGACCCTCCCTGGGACCAGGAAGCTCTGTGCTCTGCTCTCCGCCCCCCCCACCTTGTTTCTCCTGCGGAAAGGTCAGCGGTCGTAGGACTGAAAGGGGGTGAACCCTCCAGCGTTTGGGTGGTCTCCAGCCGCACGCGTGTGGTCCCCACGGTCCTGCAGCGCAGCCCAGAGGGACACGTCCCCGAGGTGCCTTTGGGACTCTCTAACAGCTCTTTTCCCCCCCCACGGTCCCCAGTGGACGAT